CCCCTGGTGTAGGTAGGTGAGGACCCTGCTTAATGGGCAGAGCAGTGTCAAATGTCACAAACCTACCACTTTACCATATAGCTGATACAGTTGAAGTCAGGCTTCAGGTATATACCTTGTTGTACTGTGGTAATGAGGGCCTATGCTGTTGAAATGGGCCCACACAGGTCTATGCAGCGGTGAAAGGCATTCAAAGTTCCTCGACCCCTTATGCCTGTGCTTAGGCAAAGGAGCTGTGCCTGCCCTGAGTTCCTGGCTTAGGGGAGCTGGCAGATTATTTTTTTCCCTGTTTGTTAATTTGTTCCCTCTCCAAGGCCGGGAGAATGGCTCAAGGCATGTGATGGCTCCTACTTCCAGCCCAGGGGAAGCGGCAGTGGCTGAAACCAGCCTGGGACCCAATGTAGAGTAGGGAGGGGGAGGGTAAATGGGAGAGAGGTTTTTCCCAAAGAGGGTGCTTTTTGATCCCTGTGGTAGGTCAGAGACACATGCTTATCTTCTGCCATTGAACGATTGAACGCTGCTTTTCACTGGTTCTGGATGCCTGAGTAGACTCTCTACCGCTGGGTCTCTCCCAATGTAGAAAATGCCTCCCGAGCACTATGGTAGATTATATTATGGAAATATTGTACAGAGTTGGAGAACAATGACGGAGACTTTATGTACTGATATGGAAAGATGCCAAAGACTATTAAATGAAAAAAGCAAGTAACAGAACAGTATGTACAATGTGATCCTATTTGTATCTGTCTGCATAAATATCTACAAAAATGACAAGAGTGGCTCCTTTTGGATAGATCTGGATGGGAATCAAGGGAAACTTTTGACTTATTTGTACTGTATACATTTTTAAAAAATAAGAATGTATTCTTGTATTTTTTTTTTGATTGAAAATAAATTTCAAAAAAGAGGGGAAAACAGCCACTACCAACAACCACTCTGACAGTGATCACAACAGAAAGTCTCATAGAGAGTAGGAGAAACATGTATAATAGAACTCAAATTCACAAAAAAAGGTCAGACTTACTGTCTGAAAGAGACTGGAGGAACTCCTAAAACTATGGCCCCCAGATGCTCTGCTAAACCAGAACTGAAACCATTCCCGAAGACGGCTTTTCAAAGGTTAGACAGACCTATAAAACAAAAAATAACACGTGAGCAATGTGCATCTAAGCTCAATCAAATCTATGAGACCAAATGGGCAGTTCCTGTCCAAAAGCAGAATGAGAATGCAGGAAGGGACAGGAACTGGATGAATGGACACAGGGAACCCGGAATGGAAAGGGGGAGTTTCCCGTCACATTGTGGGGATTGCAACCAATGTCACAAAACAATATGTGTATAAATTTTTTAATGAGAAATTAACTTGAGCTGTAAACTTTCACCTAAAGCGTGCGCACACACACTCACACACACACACACACACACACACACACACAACGGGAAGTTTAAAAAAGTAGAGGAAAAGAAATGTAGTAAACTAAAAATGGTTTAAGTTAGCCTTTAGCACTGGATGTTTCAAATGTCTGCCTGCTGTTTGAGTTTGAACCATGTCACAGTGTAATAGCTTACATTTGTGTATTGCTTTAAAGTAAACAAAGCTTTGACCTGCATCCTTTGGTCTTATGCTTATAACAACTGAATGGAATAGATAGGGTTGGTGACATTTCTGTTTTGCAGCTGAAAATATAGTCTCAGAGTTCTTTCATAGTAAAATTATGAATTCTCTGCTGTATTGGTTTCTATTCATGTTATTGTTACATTTACTTATCTCCTAGTTTATCATTTAATTGGCTCTCTTGGATGAGACACTAAGACCAATCTTTCCACGTGGCGTTGAATTTCCACAGCCATGTGTGTACTACAATTTTAAAGTATTTTCATTTCTAAATTGCTTGCCAACGTAGATAAGATCACATTGTAGGTGAAGTCCTTGTTTCTTCCCTTTTATCTTGCTCTCTCTGTTCCTAATCTTTATTTCTTTCTGGAAGGCCTTGCTTTTCTTTCTGGTAGGGTTTTCTGTCAGTTAACTGTCATATTTCTTTTCTGTGCGTTTTGTTGTGTGCTGTTGATTCCAACTCATAGCAACCCTATAGGACAAGTAGAACTGCCCCATAGGGTTTCCAAGGAGTGCCTGGTGGATATGAATTGCCGACCTTTTGGTTAACAGCCTGAGCTCTTAACCACTTTGCCACCAGGGCTCCTTCCTAAGCATAGATGCATAATAACTTAAAGTGTTACTCTTCCCAGGGGCATGCACATTTTTAATTAGGATCTCTTGAGGAGCAGCCTCCAAATTCAACAGAGTGATGGTGTTGGACTAAATGATCTCTGAGACACAGCTCTACCATCTGTGCCCTTTTCAGACCTGCGGATAAAATGTTTTTGTCCTGAAATGCCTGCCAGGGGCCCCTCAAATCACTTGGCATAGCACCTACTTTCTTGGCTTACTTCTAAGACTGGCTGTGCATGCATAGAAAGAAAGGACATTTTTAAGTTCTAAGTTTGTTGGGGCTTTGTAATTCTGAGGCAAGGTAGCTTAATGGACAGATGGAGTTGGGAGTATGAAGACCTGAACTCTAATCAAGGTCCAGTATGAATTTTGTCACAATGGACAAGTATCTTCATATTTCTGTCCATCAGGGAATGCTGAGTGTTATAATGGAAAGAATAAGGCATTGGCAAGAGCTCATTGTTTATTCATCCCATTCATTTAAAAAAAAACAAATATGTATTACATATCAGGCAGTATGTCAGGTTCCAGGGAGACAGTAGTGAATAAGATGGGGTTATTGACTTTTAGAAAATTTTCACTTTGTTTTCCCATGGCAAAAGGTAGTGCCACCACTCGTCTGTCAATTTGTCATACTGTGGTGGCTTGCATGTTGCTATGATGCTAGAAGGTATGCCACCAGTATTTAAAATACCAGCAGGGTCACCCCTGGAGAGATTTCAGTGAAGCTTCTAGACTAAGACAAAGAAGAAAAGTCTGGCTATCTACATCTGAAAATTAGCCAATGAAAACCCTATGGATCACAGTAGAGTATTGTCTGATATAGTCTAGAAGATGAGCCCCCTTGGTTGGAAGGCAGTACATAATGGCTACAACAATGGACTCAAACATGACAATGATCCTGAAGATGGTGCAGGACTGAGCAATGTTTTGTTACGTTGTACATAGAGTCTCCGTGAATCAAAGCCAATTCGATGACAACTAACAACAACAAAAGGTGGTGAGAATAATACCTACTTCATATTCTGTAAAAATCACTGTTGTAGTGATCCATAGTTTCCAATGGGAGTGTTGAATTCCTTGGATGTGGTGGAGTGGAAAAAAAGACTGAAAACTGCCTATCTAGTTCAAGCTCTTCATTTGTAGGTAGCAGAATAGGACTCAGAGCTATTAGTTGACCATCCATCCCAGTTCTTTTACTTACCACGTACAATAGTTTCTTCACTACCCTTAAGATCCTTTTGAAATTTTGGGGACCTTTTCTTTCATTACTCTCAGGCTTGTGTGCTCAGCCTTTCTAGAGTACTCAGTGTCCCAGAGCCCACTGTGAACCCGTTCGTTTTGCTCAGGTTGGGTTCTTCCTTAGTAATGGTTGAATGCCACTTCCCCTCTTTGAAATCAAGCATCCAGTAACTCCCAAGTGTCACCTTCTTCATAAAGCTATAGCCCCTCGACTTGATGAGGCCTCTTTCTTCAGGAGTTTCATACTACTTTGTATCTTAACTTATTATTATGATCCTTGATCTGTGGAAGTTATTCTTTCATCCTGGATTGTGAGCTGTGATCTGTTGCTTTTTTCATCCCCCTAATGTTTTGGGCTATGCCTTGTAACAGAGCTGATAAATAATCTTTGATCAAATTGAATTCTTGAATCTGTTGAATGGCAACATGATAGCAATAATAGCTGACTAGCCTACCAGAGAATGCTATTGTGGTAATAAAATAAGGGAATAAATATGAAGAAAATTTTGACAATTTTAAAAGGTCCTATCAAGGAGGATGACTAGATGGAGAGGAGTTTGGGAGCTGATTCACATATGAAATAGTTGGGAAAACTGATCATTACTTTTTTGCATTTCTTTTTTTGCCTGGAGACTCCCAGCGTTGGAGGACATAATCATTCTTTTCAATTTTTTGAAGGGCTGTCAAGTGGAAAACATTCTATATTGCTCCAGGCAGTATAACTACCAGCATTGTAAAGTAAAAGGGAAGCAGATTTCTGCTCAGCAGGGGACAGAACTTTCTAACATTTAGAGCTGTCCAACACTGGAGCAGCCTGCATCACTTAAAGGTAGTGAGCACTCCGAAATTTGAACTGTTGAAATGGAACTTAGATCTGGCTGGAATGTACAAGAGGGAATTCCTGCTCAGGGCAGGATGCTGGACTAATGACCTTTAAGGTGTCTTCCAATTCTAATGTTTGTTACTGTTCAATTCGGCTAACCTGAAGGTTTTTTTTTTTTTTTGGGTTTTGTTTTTTAAAATTATAAGTTCAATTGATTTACTTAAAAGGTTTATAAATTAAGTTTGATAACCTAAGTTGTGGAAACCAAGTTTAATTCCGAAAATCCAGATACCACCCAAGATAATCAACGACATTTTTTAACAGAAAGCGAGGTAAGGTGTGTGAGGAGTGTTGTCTGCGTATTTGTCATTCGAATAATGAGTGTGTCCTCGACAAGTGAGAGTTGTTATAAAAAACATAAACGGTCTAAATTGTTTTACTTTAGACATACTTCCTCAGATGGATTTTTCACGACCAGCATTACCGTACGCGGAAGCGAGGGCGCATGCTTGATCACAACTTCCCGGAAGGCAATTTCCTGTACTCCTACACCCATGACCGCTCCAGCCCGCGGCGGATATGGCTGGCTAAAGCGGAAGGGGAGCAGCTGGCCGTCGAGGCCGAACTACCGATCCCAGCGGCCCCCACGGCACCGCGCAAGCGTGCTGGCGTGGCAGCGCTGCCGCCGCAGGACGCAGAGAAAGCAACTACCGGGCGACGGCGGCGACGGCGGCAGTGGCAGTTCACGGCGAGGGTCCCGTCTGCGAGCCCCGAGTGGCCATCCGGTGGACCTGGGTTCCCCCCTCCGCATGAACACATTGGTGAGTGCACGCCCTCGGTTAACCCGCGCTGGGCGCGTGGATCTTGTGCAGCGGCCCGGCCACTCCGGCCTAGGGCCGCAGCCTGACCCTCACGGCCGGGCCGCCAGGCCTGCTGACTCCTGGAGCCCTGGCCGCTTCCCTCTCGTGTCAGACATGGTGGGAATGGGGGAAGACACGGTTAGCCCCAGAAAAGAGGTGTGGCGGCATGCAGGTGCCAGGGTAGCCTGGGGTGGACGGGAGGGAGGGACGCGTGGGGGATGGGAAGGGAAAGGAAGACCTCGGGGCGACTTCGGGTGGGGGCCAGAGGCGAGCGACCCTGGGGAGCGTGGTGATATATTCAGATGAGAACTAGGTTGAGAAGTGAGCACACAGGCAAGGAGGAGATGGAATGTCTTCTGAGTGCTGCTGGTGGAGAAGTCGTGCTTCGGGGACTCTGACAAGCTGTACCTACGAACTGGGGGCAGCCCACCTATCATAAACATACACACTACACTTAGCATCTTTCCACTTGCTGCTGGGGGTCCGAAAGTGAGGGAATGTTGGTTGCTTTCTATCTCCTTTCCTTCAACTCCACCTTTTACTGACTGGGCAAAATTTAATGGGTGCTAGCTGGACAAACTGCAGAAATAAATAGGATTTTGTGTTTAAACCTGCATGAAAGCAAGGAAGCGTGGTGATATGTTCAGATGAGAGCTTGGTCAACGGAGAAAACTGCTTTTAAAATTATGACAAAAATCAGTTTGTGCAGGGCTTTGAACTAGAAAGACTCTTGGACTTGGGGTCTACCAGTTGGTGGATAGAATTCAGGGGCTCCTTGAACTAAAATGAGGATAAAATTACATCTTTATTTTTATTAACTGCTGACTGAAATTTATCATTTCCTTCAATTATGAACGTAGGCAATAAACCACAGTATTAGCAACGCCTGTGACTTTGTCATCAATAAAAATTACTGATACTTTTGTTATCATGTTTATAGTTGCAAGTATCTCAAAATATTGTTTATGTCTATCACTTCTTCAAATTTATAGTAGTTATTAAACCTACTGGTGGAAATGTTATTTAACGTGGAACTAAAGCCATACATATATTAGCATATCTGGGTTTTTTAATTGTTAATTATTTTAGTAGAATTCATTTCCTTTGTAATCCCATGTATTTATTGCATTTAGAGGCATTCTGAGGAGTCCATAGGCTTCACCAGACTGCCAAAGGGGTCCTTGACACAAAAAGATTAAGACCTCATGAAGTAGAAATAAGTTTTTTGAGATCTATAAGCCTTCCTGGAAAAGTAGTTGAACCATTAGATTAAAAAGAAGATAAAGTAGACAGCATGATAGTACAGATGAAAGAGCGAATTTTGTAATTAGGGAAATAAAAATAAAGATTTGGGTGGGATCAAAATAATAATTTTGAAAAATAGACGGCAGATATTTCATTTAGGATACTGGAGAATCAGCAAAATTATCTGAGGAAGAAAGGACAGTGACTACTTTGGCCCTTAGATTTTTGTATTAAGGCACCTCCTGAATACAAGTGATTGAAGCCTTCCGAGCTCTTTTGTAAATCTGTGAAAGGAAATTTTAGTGTGTCCTGGTTTTAGTTTAATCAGGTAGATAGTGTGGCTTTTAAAGAGGGAGCATCCTAATTTTTCTACCCTAAGTGAAAAGCAGCAGGATCTCTTTTCAAATATATATTCCTATTGCTATTATGCTTCTTTTCATCTGTTATAGAAAGTAAGCATGCAGATTATAGAGCTGGAGAGTTGAGAAGTCTTTCTCTTGAAATTCCATTTAAAATTTTTGTAGATCAGCTTCATTTTGTCATCAAATTTCTCACTGGTAAATTACCCTTAACATTTTTTCAGAATATGTGTGGCTTGAAATGTGCACCTATTTGTAAAGGACCTGTTACATCTTGTGTGAAAATTTTTTTCTCTTCTAAAATAATAGCAATAATGGAAAACCACAGCAGCACACTTTTTCTGGAAGAAATAAAGGAGGTATGGAAAGGTGAAAGAAAGTATTTATGAAACAGGTTATTGGTGCCGAAACAGTTTATGCTGAACTGAACATTACCATATCACAAGTCACTGTGTTGAAGAGGTCTTGCCTGCCATTTTTTGTGCCCTTACTCTACTCCTCTTGTCATTCTCTGTCCCTTGCCTCTTTATTTTCTTAAAAGCATGTATCTATAAGAGATTATATTAACTGTATATTTGTTTGGTACTTTAATCTTTGTATTTTCTACTAGAATGTCAGCACCGTGAGAAAATGGACTGTCTTCTTCAGCACTGTACCACAGTAGCAGCTGGCCCATAATAGATGCTTAGTAAATATTTGCTGAATAAATAAATGAATGAGTTAATTTATACGACATAGGTTTTTTGTTTCTAGGAATAAAGCACGTCTGTTTTTAAAAATCTTACAAATAATATTATGTATAGGAGTTGAATCTTTTCATCTTATATATATATGTATTTTTTTCACCTTATATTTTTTAAAAGACAGGAAATTATTTCACAAACACTGATGCTTTTGTGGGCATTTAGTTTCATAGGGGACTAACCATTCTTACTGCATTTTAATACATGCTAGCATGTAGGTTTTGAATATCCTTAACTTTCTATGATGATGTAATAAAATAAAAGGTCTGTAGGTAAAGTTCCTGTTTTGCTGAGGTTCTTTTATTGTGTAATTCTGGGTTGCTTATTTTATTACTTAATTACTATCTTGTTCAATATGTTGAGTTGAAGAATCCTAAAGAACCACAGATTTGCTTCTGTCAAAACTAAAAAAAGTAGCTTTAAAGGAGATACTGGTGCTAATATTAGCATTGAAAATTTAGCTTTAGAACTATACTGTTCTTCAGGAGTCTAGTAATCATGCAAGCCCTATTAATCAATGACATATAAATTAAAATGAGTGATACAGCATTTTTCACATCAGATTGATAAAAAAAAATGTTTGACAATACGTATTGGTGAATATGTGGTGAAATGCTAATTTTAGAAACTCCTGGTGGAGTGTAAATCAGTACAGCCACCTTTGGAGAAAATAGTTGCAGTACTTAGTAAAACTGAAAATAGGCATACCCTACCCTATAATTTCACAGTTTCTTTAAGGAAACAAGAAGGGGAGGTGGTTGCAAAGGATATATATATATATATATATAGTTAGAAGCAAGTATGACAACTATGGCAGTATTAATTCAGGAAGCAGAATATGTGTGCTAAATTATTCTTTGCACCTTTCTGTGTTTTCTGTTGTTGGTTTATTTTTGTACTCCATAAGTTTTAAATACTTTTCCCCAACTGTTTGTTTTGAAAAATTGTAAGCCTACAGAAGGATTGCAAGAATAGTACAGTGAGCACCCATATACCCTTCACTTAGATTTGCCAGTTGTTAACATTTTGTCATGTTTACACAAAACACATAAATGCAGACATTTTTTGCTGAACCATCTGAGAGTTAGGTTTAAATACCATCAGGGCGCTTTACTCGCTAAATACTGTAACATGTATTTTTTCAAAAACAAAGGCTTTCTCATATATATCTATAATACAGTTATTATAGTCAAGAAATTTAACACGGATTTTATAATACTTGGTCCATATCCAAGCTTCCCCAGTTGTCCCAATACTGTCCTTAGTTTTTTTGTTTGTTTTAATCCAAGATCCAGTCAAGGATCTTGCATTGCATTTGCTTGTCTCATTCACTCTAGAATGCCCTCCAGCCTTTTTTATTTTTATTTTTTGGTCTCACGTGACAGTGACATTTTTAGAAGTGTCTACACCTGTGTGTCCAAAATGCTAAATAGGTGATTTTAGGTCTCTTTCAGTGTATGACATCAGAGGCACATGATGTCGGTTTAATTATTCATGCAGAATTTGATCATTTAATTAAGGTAATCACTCGTTTTCTATTGTAGAGGCACCTTTTTTCCTTTGTAACTAATAAGTAATCTGTGGCGTGATAATCTTGTTTACTTTCGGAAAGTCATGAGGTCTTAGTAGAGGTACTGGTATAAAGGGTCAAGCAAATTTAGATTGGAGATACCACTTTTCAATGAGGAAGTGGGGAATCTGGGAGTGCTGTGTGAAGGAGATGACATTTTAACGGGACCTTGAATCATAGATGTAATTGGCCAAGGGAATATGGAGAAGGGCTCCAGATGGAGGAGGGAACAACTTGAACAAAGAAAAGACAAAAGAGTTTGTAAATCCAATGGGGGAAACGTCCAAGTCTTTTTTTTTCGGGGGAGGGGGAGCTAGTGTGTTAAATGTGTGAGAGGGAAAAATGAAGGAAGAGATTATAAAGGTAGCTTGGGATGAAAAAAGTCTGAGAAAACCAGGCTACCCAGCTTTTTACCCCATTATAATCAGAAGTTTATTGTGGGCCAGTGCAGGATCATTTACCTCCAGATGGATCACTACTCTTCCTAGAGCCTACTATACTGCATTGCTCACAGGATGTCAGTAAACTGAAGAGCCAGAGAAGCAGCATGGGGAAATGGAAAGAATATGGGCTTTGGAGTCAAACTTATCTAGATTTTAAACCCTTCTCTGCTGCATCATAGCTGAATGATCAGGCAGTGAGTTATCTAACTCTTCTGAACCTGTTTTGTCATCTGTAAAATGGGGGTGATGAATACGTATCACATGGGATTAAATCTAATAATATGTGGAAAGAATCAAGAGTGTGGCTTCCACTTAGTCGTTAGTAATCTCTTGGTGCTCCAGCTTTCAGTCAACTGTTAATCTTTTCCACCTTGGTACCACACCCCAGATTTTAAAACAAGGCCTATCTTTTGGTGTCTTCTTGGCCATTGTCACAGTGTTGTCACTTCCCACTTCACCTGGTTAGCTCTACTGTGGGTTTGTGAACTGCTTTCCAGTAATGGCACACAGTGTTTGCCACCTCACAAGGTGTCTTTTTTTTTTTTAAATTGTACTTTAGATGAAGTTTTACAGAACAAACAGTTTCTCATTAAACAGTTAG